CTACTGGAGCTCTTCTTGCTTGACGTGCTTGACTTGCTACGCTTGCTTGACCTAGACTTGTCATCGTCGTCTTTGTCTTTATCTTTGTCTTTATCTTTGTCTTTATCTTTGTCAGGACAGTGCGATGCTGGATGTCCTTTATCGTGGCAGGAAAAGCATTCTTTCTCTTTCCAGTATTCTTTATCATAGCTCGCGTTTCCGCGGCCTTTTCCTCTGCCACCACCCCGTCCTCTCCCGCCTTGTGCTGTCTGAGCAAAGGAGCTTCCGTGGGAAGTGGACTGTCGTGGGGTGTTACTCTTGGTGTGTTTGTCCAAAAGGTGTAATACCTCATGTAACGTGTGGGGATAGTTATCAGTGCCTTTGGCAAAGTCGTCCCTCAGGTTCTGTTTAAGCTTGGTATTTTCGGCTGAACTATTTGTTAAGAAGATATAACTATAGTACCGTTCCTCTGCGTATGCCGAGACTATCTTCTGGTCTTCGACTCCCAGGTCAGCGTATTCTGTGTCTGGGTGGAGTAGGTTGGCCGTATGCAGCAGCGCTGCGTCGTGTAGCTTGGAAATACCCACGGATTTTGCAATGTCCTTTTTCGTGGTAAATTGCTCGTGGTATTCGGAAGCGGTAAGGCTCCCTTGGTGGAAATTCAACAGTTGTTTTTCCAGTTGGAATAATGTGTGGTACACAAAATTATCATCGGTCTGGGCCATGATCGTCTTATGGATCATTTTTCGTAGCTCCAGTGGGTCGCATCTTAACAGGACGTCTTCGTAGTCCGTGTTCTGCTTCATCTTGTCCTTTAATAGTCGGGTGCACTGCCCTAGGATCAAGTTGAATGCTTTGCCTCTATTTTCTTGTAGTTTTGCCAACCTCGTAAGGTGGGTCTTCATCAGCCCTCCATACTCTGCTCTCTCGAGTCCCCCGAGTTCCTCGTCCGGTGGATCTGCTATGGCTGCAGTGAGGTTGGCTATTTCATTTTCGAGTTTTGCTTTCTCTATCGTTAGTGTGCGTAAGCTACCGAGAGTCGGGTTCTCAATGACCTCGGCTATCTCGTCTTCCAGTAGCTGTAGGCTTGTTTGGGTTGCAGTTTGGAGACGAAGGTTGTTCTGTTCGCGTCGTTCCGCGGCTGCGTCAAGCCTGTTCCGGGTCTCCTCTGAGTACACCGGTGCTACCAACACTGTCTTTTTCAGGTTGCGTAGCTCATTGCTGATGTCGTCACCCAACGTTTGTCCAACGTGGAGGACGATCTTCTCCCATGTGCGTATCATCTGGTCTGCCGTTCCAGATCCAGTTGTACCGAAGTTAAACACATGTTGGTCGAGGGCTTTGCATGAACCTTTCTGCTGGTTCGACGATGGGTTGGTTCTTCCATGCCCTCGTGCTTTGCCGCCTCCTCGGCCACCTCGTCCTTTACCTCTACCGCTCATTGTCTATGCTACGGTAGGTGGACTATTTCAATTCTTTCTTTTTTATTTGGCTAGCTCTTTATTTTAAGTTCTCGTCCGACTACTTATTCGTCTTATGGCTATGGGGCGATAAACTTCAAATTATACTCCTGGCTAGGGAGTGTTAAAACTATTGCTAAGGATCTTGCAAGGTCTGGCGCTATTGCTTCACACTTCGTGCGGTATGCTGCCGTTCCGAACCCGTTTCCTTGCTGGTTGTTTCCTTGGTTGGGTACCCGTCCTTGGTCCCTGCGCTGGCACTATGGCTTTCGCGCTTGTTGTTGGCTTTCTCCTCGCCAAGCAACCTTGCCGGTAATCCTTGTGGATTCTACCGACGAAACTCTTGCTGCTGCCGACGGTTCAACGACTCCGGTCGGCGAAACTCGCTTCGGCTTGGATTCGAATCCGTCCTCGGATCAGATCCTTCTCTCGTTGCGTCGTCAAGATCCGTCCTCGGATCCGTTGCCGCGGTGCTGTCGATCCTTCGACAGTCTTTCTTCACTCGTGTGCCTTCAGTTCCACCGAAGGGCTTCTCTCTGTTGCTGTCGTTCCTTGACAGTCTTGGTCTCTATCGTCTCGTCGTCGCGTTCGGCGTCGGCCGATACTTGCTCCTCTTCGCGTCGCGAGCTGCTACCGTTGACTACGTTGCTTCGTTGCGTCGATAGGCTCCTGTTCGCTGCTTCGCTTCGATGTCGATAGTAGACCGCTTTTTCAATAGTATGTTAGTTGCTCTAAGCTCTCTTCTAGCTAAGCTCTCTTCTAGTTTACTGTTGCTATTGAGATACTATTGAAAAAGTGGGTGGGGTACCAGCTTTTACTACTGGCATCAAATTCTAGTACAGAGGTACAGGTTGAATCCCTAATCGCGAATCCCCAACACTCACACCAACCAATCTTGGAGTTGCATTGCAGCAAGGCAGAATGCACTTGGCATTGGCAAAGCAACAAGAAGTACTAGTACTAGGAGAAAAAGGGACATGGCTTGGTACCACTGACACTGGAAGACCCACTAAAGCACCACGGCAAGTTAGAAGATCTGCAGGAGAGGAGAGAGGCACATCAAGTCAAATGCCAGCCATTCCACAAGACATGGTGGAGGAAGATCAAATTGCTTGGGCCATGCAAGATGGTGGTGGTATTGGTTCCGAAAGCGAGGAAGACAATAGAAAACCAGCAGCTGACACCCGAGATGACAGCAATGTCGATAACGATCCACTAGCTCCACCACCTAAAACGAGTACCAAAATCAGTCAGTTGAACACTGGTGAGGCATACCGCAATTGTTACAAGGCATATGTTACCAATCCCCAAAAGCAAATGGGAATCGGCATCCAATGGTATATTGATGGGGCAGTGACTGGCCAGTTCCAAAACCTTTCGATAACTGCTCTGAAGATGTCTCTCTCTTGTTTCTCCCTGGAATATCGAAGGAAGGATCAGGCATGGGCAACTCTTGGATATGTTGTCAACTACTCGGCAGGCAAATCACAAGGAAACAAGATATTTGCCAACTCAAACCATGATCAAGCAGTTCTGGATTTCCTGAATTTCGAAGGTTTACTTCCCAATGAGGGGGGTAGACAAACAAAAGTCGTGAAGGCACAGGACTTCCATCACCAACTTGATACCATCTTTCACTCTTACGTAACCATCCAAACAACTGGGATGATATGAAATCTCTATTACAGAGGAGAGCTCTACCAAAACCTCGAGCTTGTGTTCTTTACTGTCATGGTGAGGGTCCATACCGATGAGGCCAAGGTGCTCTGTGGAAAGTATAGAAGCTGGTTGGGCAATGTTAAGATGATTTGTCAATACTGCAACGTTCCAACTCTTGACTGCGACAACCACGTTGATACTTACACAGCAAAGACACTGACAATCATCCAAGAACTCATCGACGCTAAGGACAAGAAAGGATTGCAAGCAATTTCCCAGCATCTGATTGACAATGCATGGAATAAGGTCAGATTCGATCCCAAGTACGATACTGGAATCCATGGTGCTTGCCCCTCTGAGATGCTCCACGCCATGTTGTTGGGTATCTTTTTGTATACGAGAGAGAGCTTCTTTGCCCAGATTGGCCCAACCTCAGCAGGAGCCAAGGAGATTGATGCATTGGCATCACAATATGGGCAACTCTTCTCCCATAACTCTGAACGGAGCATCCCAGGATGCAAGTTCACCCATGGAATCAGGCAGAAGAAGAAGCTGATGGCTAACAAGTACCGTGGTGTTTTGCTACTCATCGCTGCTGTATTGAGATCCACCAAGGGTATCGAAATACTAAGGAAAAGCCAACATTTCCAGACACCACAGCTCCGAAAGGACTGGTTGAGGCCGGTGGAGATGCTCTTGGAATGGGAGGCATTCCTGAATGAACCAGAGATGGATGTTAAAACAGTCAAGCACTTGAAGAAGAAACATCACTTCATGATGTACCTATTGAAGAAAGTGTTGAGGAGAGCAACAGGAATGAGTTTGAAATTGATGAAGTTTCATGCGATAATGCACATGGCAAATGATATCCTTTTGTATGGTGTACCTAAGGAACATGACACTGGATCTAATGAAATTGGCCACAAAGTGACCAAAGTGGCAGCATGGCTCACCCAAAAGAACATGGCAACCTTCGAATTGCAGAAAGCTACCCCCTTGCTTGAATTTATGGTGATTCAGTGAGCAATGGCTGAGCTGGATGGTCTTCTATTGTGGGAGTACTATGGAGATTACGATCCAATGGGTGTCGATGATGATGGTGGCGAGGACGAGGATGAGGACGAGGACCCGGATAATAATGATGCAAATGCAGAGAATCAGCAAGGTGGTGATGCAGTGATTGACAAAGGTATCGACGGAGACTCGGATGATAGTGATGCCAATGCAGATAGGGAGGAAGATAGTGATGGAGAGGAATCGGAGCCGAATGCAGATAGGGAGGAAGATAGTGATGGAGAGGAATCGGAGCCGAATGCAGATAGGAAGAAAGGTAGTGATGGAGATGAATCGGAGCCGAATGTAGGTAGGAAGGAAGGTAGTGATGGAGATGAATCGGAGCCAAAAACCTGGACCGGAGGCAGAATGTTGGAGGTTTACTGGGCCAATGAAGAAACAAGAGCAATTGGTTTCAAGGGACGGACTAAAGCAGAAAAAAGGAGTCCAGCTTTGGCAACTGAGAGGTACAGTCAGGAGGTTGTGGAGTTTCTCTTGGAGCTGCAGGACAAAGTGGAAGACACATTGAATCCAAGTGTTGCCAGTGATTCCAGCAATGACAATGGACTTTCAAGAACTCAGTATGAGCTGCCAATCTACACAGAACACAGGAGGGACGGCCAAGTGTTTCATGCCCACCCTGACTATCGAGGCACTGGACCATGGAGAGATTGGGCAATCATATTCTGGGGAGACACGGATGAAGGGGGGTATGGCGACCTTCCTGGACAGATCTGGTGCTTTCTGAAGTTGGAAGGGTTGGCAGAGGATAAGTCTCTCGATCAGTACTGGGCTCCAGTCAAAGCTGTATCAGAACATCACTGCTTCGAAGTGGATGGTACAAGGAGCATGCATCATACGTTTGTCAAGCCGTTCGATGGAGCCAAGGAAGAGGCCCAGCTACTCACTCGATTGAAGTTTCGTCCCAAGGAATGGAGGAAAGCTCACAAGAATCAAGACTGGAGTGTCTTCAAGGAGCCGCTGACCTTGGAACATGGACCAGCCCACTTAGAACCACCTGGAATTCCCGACATCAAGTGGCAGGAGCTGTATGACAAGTGGCGCAAGCTGATACCACTAGACAAGAGAACAATCAAGTGGTTTAAAGAAGACCCGGGAGTAGAACGTCGAGCGAAGGTTCAAGCCAATTCGAAAAAGGCCAAAGCTACCAGGAGGCAACGTACAGCTACTAAGGTGTCAGCAGCTGAAGCAGCCACTATGGCTACTGCGCCAACTGAAGTTAACAACTCTATCTAAATAGTTAACAACTATAGCCATTGTGGCAGTCTAATGTAAGTATAACAGTGGCAATGACATGGTACCGGTATTGTTGCCTTTTTTGCACCATCTAACTTCTTTTGCGTTTATCTCGACTTGCCTATCCCGCGGAAAACGGACGACGGACAGAAAAGTTATCGTCCTTTTTATTGGCCCAGTCTTATGTAGGTAAGTGATTGTTCTATCCGCGGGCTGTTTCGGCGTTTCAGCCAAGGTGTCGGGAATTGTTCCGAGCGTCCTTCTTTGCGTTAATTAAGAATTAAGATTGCCTTCCGTTCTTAATCCCAATCTGCACTGTTAAATCTTCCATCTCCCACGCAAACAATTTATTTCGTCCCCATAGAGACGACTTGTTTTGGGGTACAGAGATTTTTAGCGGCAGTAGGCAGTGATATGATTGGAGGAGGACACGGGTAAGACACCGTAAGACACCATGATTACTTAGAACAGAAACATAAGATCTTTACGAACCACTGTGCTATAAAGTCACCATTTTCGAGGAAACAGAAATTGAAATCGAAGATTCCGTCTTGTTGGCAATGACGCGGAGCCGTTCATTGCAGTCATTGCCATGACATTATTGCAAGTATTCCACTTCAAAAGTCAAGATGGCGAGTAGACCGCATGTAGTGAACCCCTACAAGAAGAGCAGCAAAAAGGCTGCTCCAATCGCTGCTCAAAATGATGAAAATCAGATGGGGCGACAAAGCCAACAGCAAAACAACCAGCAGAAGCGAGGTTTTCAACTCGCGAGCAACTCCAACAGCAGCAACAACAAGAAGAAGAATGGTGATCAGCTGACTTTGGAGGGAACTGTTGCTTTTGATCCGATGAAAGACTGCCAAATGTGTGTAGCATATGCACGGAGAAAGTCTGGCTTGGCAGTGCGAATTCCCAAAAGAGAGCACCACAAGCTTCGCATCAAAAACACAAAGACAAGAGGTCAGGGCGACATTCAAGAGGAGGAAATCGAAACAAGGAAGGAACAGAAGCCATTGAAAGACCTGTTCAAAACCCCTCTCAAGGAAAGTGAAAAGGGAAGCTGGCGGCATTCAACAAAGGAAGCTGGAGTCACATTCTTCTCTGGAAGGACAAATGTGCCACAAAAGGCAGCAACAACAACAGCCAAGGCAACTCCTAAACCAGCTTCCAAGAAACCAGAAGAAGAACCTCCAATTATCAACTCACAGTTCTTCTGCAAAGCTTGACAGCGATGGTAAAAGATAACTCTTTTGCTGAGAAACACAAGACCAAGGGTGCTCCTCTCGCAATGCTTGCCTTTGCCGAAACGATTATTGACAAAGTAATTCGTCCAAAGAATGGCCAGCTCACTGAGGAGTTCTTTGATAGTCTTACCATGGTTGTTCCTGACTCTCGAGATAGTACTGAGCCAAACTATCATTCAATAGTAGGACAAAAGCTTCTTTTGGTTGACTGGAGCTGACTTGGATTTCAGTGCCCATGCCCTCACGGTCCGTGCAAAAGGAAGCTCCTTAATACCAGGACAAACTATTCGAAGAACAAGACGTTGTTCCCCATCTTCGGCATTGAAGGGCCTCCTTCCTGGTGCATTGTGATGTCAATGGTTTGTGGAGTCTGCAAGAGAAGATATGATGCCAATTCTGCTGAGGTTTTGGTTCTATTGCCACCACACGCATCAACTCTCTATCCAGTTGAACCCAAATTCGCTCTACAGAGAACAGGCCATCTCTCTCGAACTGCTACACATGTCTTCGATTCTATTATGTTGACGTATGGAAACGGGGAACTATGTAGTAAGTTACTCTATGGCTCCATCAACAAGCACTTCCTCCAAAGGATAATGGCTTACTATTCTCTCCTCAGAGAAAAGAAACAAGACGATCTGGATTTCGAAACCATTCCGTACGTTCCAAAGGATGGTGTCTATATCAGACAATACCCTCCTCATGGCGACACCCTTCGCGACATCTTTGATGAAGCCTCTTCCACAAAGAACAATGTCTGGGGTTTGAGCGACAAGGAAAGACACACGCGAGAGATTGAAGGTGTCACCTGCCATGGAGGAATCTTCTGCCAAGATCACACGTTCCAAGTTGTCAAGAATTACCAGAAGAGTGTAGGGGGCCGTCTGGGATTGCGCGACCTCCACTGGAGAAGTGGCATCAGCTGTCCTTGTTGCTTCAACGCGAACTGTGGATCATTCCCATGCAGAACCGGGTTCACTCCCAAAGTCATGTATTCAGACACATGGCCAAACAAAAGCGAGTATTGGGCTACCCTTTTTCCAGATATCCAAGGAAGGCTCGGACTCTTCCACTTTGAAAAAAGAATTATTTCAACAATGAGAAACAGCATGCAGATTCCATGGAGGCAATCAATGGGTTGTTGCGATGCTTGTACGTTTACTCACCTGATGACTATGAGAAGGTCATCGCTGCTTTGAAGGATGGCACGTTATCGGGGAAGCGACACTCCTCCCAAGACATTGCTGATCTTAAAGCAATAAATCTTTTTCGAGATCGTTATTCCAAATATCTTCGAAAGCAGATGCGCGAACCTGCAACTGATGATCCCAAACAAAAAAAACGAAATTTTGTTTTAAAGGCTACACCTCGTCAGACGATCCGCTGAACGGTGCCGTGACGAACCCATATTCCTCAGGCGCACGAGGGCGCCCACTTAGGATGGGCCTAGTGTAAGCCCCCCACCGGAGAAATTGAACAAAACTCCGGAGGGTGCTGTACGACTAACTATCTACTCCAGGCTAAATCGCCCGCTATTGCTACGGGAATCCCACATCGGCACATAGTTACCCTGATTGGGGAGGCTGCTCGCGTGCATGCTCATCCCTCATTGCTTTGTCCACAACTGGAAGCCAATTGGCCAGCCATGCTTTGATATCTCCCGGCCCTTGGCCATCTGTTCCTCCAGGGGTCGTTTGAAGATGGTATCAAGGAGATGGGCTGGGAGCAGGTCTGCTTTTTCATACAGGAGCTCAACCTCTCTTTGAAGCTGTTCGTGCTTCTTGCGCCATTTCTGTTCCTGATCCCGCCCATGCCTGGCGGCATTGCGGTCCTCCCAGAGATTCCACCACTGCTGGATCAGAACAGAAGCCAGATTGGTGACCCAAAGCTGCCTGGTCTTGGTGGTCTCCTTGGAGCCGACCCGATGCAGATATGCATCTTGGTGCTTGGCCCACTGCTTGGACAATCGTCCTCTCAGGAAGTTATCCCAACCGATGAGATTTTGAGTGTCAACAAGGTCCCTATACCGTTCTGGGTAATGCCACGGGTGTAGGAAGCGGTCTTCAAAGTGGTATTGAAGCCCATCAAGAACAATTTCCAGGAGGAAGGGGTCTGTGGAATCCTTGCGCAACTTTGTGCTGATTGCTCGTTGCATGGTCCCTCGCCACAAATCCACGTCAACATGTGGGCATCGGTACATATGGGTCTCAGTCTCATGATCACCGCCGCAACGGGGACAGTGGTGATCATACTTGGGGTCGTCTCGGTGGATCCGTTTCCCAACTGGCAACAATTGAAATAGAAACTTCACAATTGTCGGTTTGTGGATCTCATGTCTGTTTACAGCACGACCATGTGCCGTCCAATCAACCAAAGCTGGGGTGTCCTCATCCCAGGCAGGATTCAGTTTGACAATGTGGTCGAACAATGGCTGGTCGTTCCTTAGATGCCGCAGTGTTCTGGGAAGCTTGTATGTGCATGTTCCTTTGGGAAGGTGCAGCTGGGCCAAGTTGGCCGGAAATCGGAGTACCTTGGAGTGGTCCTGTTTCATGTGTCTGGTCATGTAACTGCCTGCCAGTTTGTCGGCTCTGCAGTTCAGTTGTGCTTTCAAAGGTAGTGTTTCGATGGCCTTGTGCTTGTCCTGGTGCGATTTGATGTGCTCCATCTTGGGCACTGTGACGGCAGCCCGAAACGAATCCTCGATCTGCTGCAAGACATCCCAGTCGGAGTCCAAGGAATCATTTGGGTACCAGCCCTCGTAATCCAGACAGCCAGTACACTTGTTGGTAACGGATTCGTTGTCGCATAGGTGTACATAAATCTTCATGCTGGTTCTGCCGTAGAACTCCAGCAATCTCCGCAGAAGACAAGTAGGGGATAGAATGCCATAAGCCTCCGCCCTATAGGAAGTCGGAACCATACCAAACACTGGACCAGAGCACCGAAGCACAATCTGCCAGAACCCAAGCAAAACTCGCCTTGCCGGCGTCAATGTCTGCAGCCCCATCACTCGCCACCCAGAAGGGCATGGCCGTGACAATCTGCAGGACGGAGTAAGTGTCCACCATCCATTCAAGCTCGTCATAGAGAGCTGTTTCCCAAGGCTCCAAAGTGGCAATGAAATCCTCAAATGTTGTTGGTGTGGGTGGTAGTGGACGAGCAGGAATGCCTGCTGTGAAACCACTACCAACTACCACTGTCGCACGCTTGTTGAATAGGGTCAGGTCTAGGACTCGCCGCTTTCCAGAGTCTGGTTGGACAGAGGTGCAAGATCGGGGGAAGTAGGGATCCAGTGGCACGGAGTTGTGTAGGATGCTGGCGTCCAGGTAGGTCTCATCTCCGAACTCCCAGCGATGAACTGTACGTTCCTTGTTCGGGACTGGATGTTGGAACATCCAGAATTCGGACTCCTCATTATCAACTTGCTGATAGACGACGTTGGCATCAACCTCATAGAAGAACCTGTGTCGCATGCGAAGCTTATAATTGTCAGCAGAGACGAGCCACCTCCCCAGGGGTACACCCAACGTCAGATTCGGAGCGAAGAGGGATAACACTTTCCTCCACAACCACCAAGTCCTGGGGTCCTTGGGTCGATCTTGAAACCTTTTGAAGTAGATGGTGCGAGGCATCAGAGGACTGGAAAAGCCATGCCAGAACTCCTCCCGGATGTATGTGCCACATGCCGTGGTGATGTCAGCTACCGTGACAACTTGGAAGTAAAGACGCACATAGTTGATCCGTTTCAAATCT